ATATGCACCATCCACATGGCCGGTCACATGACTCTAAATGCACCCTAAATGTGTCTCAAATTCCATTAGACACAAACTCACATGAATTTAAGAATTAGAATGGCTGAAATACATAGCCTAAAATCCAACCTATTCTACTTGGCCGAAATACAAGGCTATCAAGCAAAATACAAGTCCAAGTGGGTCAATCCTAGTATAGGCCTTAATGAACAACCCAACTAAAAAGTGTCATGCGTTTTTCCTTGGTATTAGCCCAACCCTCTTCTAGTCTTCGAACCATAGCCCTAGTAATTGAGCCCTCAGCCCATGGGCCTCCATCAAGGTTATCAGAAAATCTTATATATCTTCCCCCATTTTTGGTCAATTTTGACCTTAACACAACAACTTTAAACAACTAAACTAACTCTTAAGAATTTCATGATCGTTAGAGTTCTAAAATATCAACATTAATAGAATAACATGCAGTATAAATACAACATACAACTTACAACACAATGTTACACGTTTCACCAAATGATCACTTTTTTTTATCTAATCAATGATACTACTTATCATCTTTTTTGGTACAAAAGGAAAAGAAATTGTTGTGTGTCAATCAATAATGAATTTTAGCTGACTTTGCATACTTTGAGATATCTGTGTCTTTTTACTTCTGAAAAGAAAATCCTTGTTCCTTCATACGTTGCGAGTACCAAAGAGGTTTTTATTCATTCTATCTATTAAGAAATAACATGAAAGTAGTTCATAGAAACATTAGTCATATTAATGTTATATTTAAAACATTCCTCTTTAACAAATGAAGTGTTCAATTTGATGGGTTATCATGCATTTCATCATTCAATATCATCTTTGACTATGACTTATATTATCGTCTTTGACAAATATTTTTTTTTATATCTTTAAAAAAATATCTAAATTTGTTAACATTAAAATATAACTTTTTAATATCTTAGATTGTCATTTGATATAACGGTATCTATGTAAGTTTTTTCATCAATCAATCTCTATATTTATAGATAGTGATGAGTAAATAAAGAGGGAGAAAAAAAAATAAGGAAAAGAATGTTTAGATATAAATATATTTAAGTTGACATAATAATTTTTATTAAGTCATCTATTGGTTTGAGATGTTGTATTAAGTAGGTCAATAAAAAATTTCATATAATTTAAAAATTAATTAGTTGATATTTTACATCAATATTTTTAATAATATTATTTATTATTGATTGAAATTTATTATAAATAAAAAATTTCTTTTAGCTTCGATTATTATTTCTCCCTATTTATTTTTATCTTTTAATAAATTTTAAGAAAAATAGGTGGGAAAGTTTAGCAGCAAATTTTGTATCACAATATATTGTTAAATAATATTTTGTCACTTGAATAGATTATTTTCTCATATAAAAACTCTAGCTTTACTTTATACACTGAACCAAAATATTTCTCGGTTATAAACAAACATAAACAGCTATTTTAATTTAAAATTTCACCCACTACCAAATCTTTACTGACTCTAATAATTTAATTTATAAAGTAACTAGCAATAATCTACATTTTGGTTCAATAGCTAAATATTACAACCATTCTATCACCTTCATGACTAATCAAAGGTCTGTGAAAGTACGGACAAAAATTATAATGTTTTTGAAAGTGTAAATTAAACCAACAAGCCTGCACAGAGAGAAAACTATAGAACACCGTTTCTTAACTCCTACAATGATTAATTAATAAGATACTATATAAATAGTATAGTTGCAACTAATTTATAATTTATTTAGAGTATACTCTTAATCAATAAGATATTACTATTAATCTTTTATTTATATTTTATAAAATTCAGCGATTTATTATAAATAATGGCTTATAATTAAATAAATAATATAAAATTACTTTATAATATTACTTTACAATAAAAGGTTTTTTCAACATATTAAATTTTTTTATCTAATTATATATAAATATTGTTAATTTATTTTTACTACATATTAAATGTTATACATATTGTTAAAAAAAAATTAATAATATTTTTATATAATTAGGCAACATTTTTCAAATGTTACCAAAGTAGTATTTTTGTAACATTTTAGTAATGCAACTAGATTTTAGTTAATTTTATAAAATAATAATTAGTTTTAATATAGATGTTATTATCACTTATACTTTATGACTTCTAACCTCTTACAAGTTTCACTATTAAACATATATCAAATATCAAAGTTCATTTTTTTATAGGTATAACTCTAAAATTATATATACTCGTTATATATTATTTATTTACTCGATATAAGATTTTAATTTTGAAAAATAATTAAAGATTGAAGAAGTATATTCTTTATATATGTGAATTTTTTTTTATTCAATGAAACTTTAATCTTGAAAATAATTTTAAAAAAATAATATTAAGATAAAAAATTGTGTTTTATTTATAGTAACACTCTTAAAAAAATGTTGTAAGATAACGAATTAACTTAATTTATAATAACATTTTAATAAATATAAATATATAAATATTTTTAAAGAAGTAAAATGTAACAATTCATTACCTAATTTATCATTTATTTATCAAACTTATCTATTTATATATCTAGACCAATGTAGTTGAAAGTTGGCTATTTGCTACACCAAGAATGCTTGATGTTTAGTTAATCTGTCATGTAAGAAGTAAAAAAACAACCACAACAGTAAAATTGCCTACTTAACAGGGAACTAAACAATCTAAATGTTAAAGTAGCTGTTCGTCTGAATTGAATCTTTTGCCTCGGATCTGAAACTTATGTCCCTAACTAATACTACTCTTTATCATCCTACACTGATCTCTTGTGTTTCTGTTGTTTAAGATGCTTTTGAGAATTGTTTCTCCCCAGTTACCAGACAAACATTAATTAATGAAAGTTACTTAGATCCATGTAGCTAAACTAAAAGCAAAAGCAAATGAGTTTCAATTCGAAGATCCAATAAGCATGCATGCACAGTATTAATTTATTCCCTTTTTGTTTTCCAATCTTTCCTTTTTCTATTCTGTTTTCAACCTGCTTTTCATGTTGCAAAAGAAGAAAGAGGGAAGAAAAAGTATAAAAAGGGGCCAAGATAGAAGTACAAGGCACAAAACCTCGAGTTAAGAACAAATATCAGAAAAGGCCATGCACATGCATTATTATTTCATGAATGATTGCTTCTGATTATTATCATATTATTGTCATGAATAATTGACATTGTTGCAGATTTAAACCCTTAGTTTATTCTATATGTCAGTTATTTTAATCCTTAGCTTTTAAAAATTTACTTTAATCTTATGCATTAATAAAAAAAGATAAATAAGTTTAGTTTAAGTCAAAAATTAAATTAATTATCACATAAACATTAATCTTTCATTATTATTCTTTCAAAAATAAAAGTACTTTCTATTAAATATGATCATATTCAAATCAGATCAGATAAAATCATTATAAACAACAAAAAAAATTCTCTATCACAATACTTAACATAACTGTATACTTTCAACTTGAAATCGAAACTTTTAATTACAGTAAAACAATCCCGTACTGATTTACAAGCTCAGTTATAAATAATTAATTGTTAAGTATATTTTTTCAGAATATTACAACAAAAATATATACCTAGCTCCTATGAATAAAGCATGATGGATAATTTACGGTCCAGCATGTACAAATTTACTCATACAGTGTCAGACACAAATTAATTAGTTAAATAATTAATTTCCATAGTAGTGGGGAAGGGGGTTAAAAAAAGTGGGGAAGGGGGTAATAATAAGAACAAAGGTGCTGAAAATGTTTCGTAGTATCTGTTTGTAGTTGGTCTGAAAAGGCAAAAGGCAACCCTTTGGGTGAAACCCCAAAAACAGCAACACATAGCAGTGGTCCATCTATCGTTACCCACACACACTGACAGTATCAATCCTTCAAAGGTGTGTTACCCCAGTGCAGTGCTAGTCATGCTCAGTAAGTATCACTGACCCCTCTAAAAACCACATCTTAAAAACTCCCTCTCATTACTATGACTTTCGATTTAAAGATCAAACCCCTTAAGATCTAAGGTATGGTATTGGGTCCGGTCCATTATAGCAAAGTAAATTTCATCAAAAATGGACGGTTAAGTTTTATTTTGTTTTAGCAATGTTAAATATTTGCATGTATATCTATTAATTTTATTAATAACTAATTTTTATTAAAAAATTTAACTGAACACTTTTGTCAGAATCTTTCTTTCTTATCATATATATATCTTTTTTACATATAAGACTCAAATTGAAATCTTATTTAAGAAGATGAAATCTAGTAACACTTAGTAAAGAAAGTATGTGTAAACATTTCATACCATATTAATTTACTTTCTTTTTCTACTATGTGTGTCTTTCCCTCTTTCTCTCTTTCTCTGCTGCGCAATATCTATGGCGATGCAAATGCAAAGTTTTGAACAGTAGAATCTGTGACTGCCCTTGTCTGCATGTCTGTCTCTCATCTGCAGTCACTGAATACTCTTGACTACCTCTTCGTGACTCTCTCTCTCTCTTTCTTTCTCATTATCACAGGAAAAAGTAGCATGAAAAAGAAAACGTCCTTTAATTAGATAAGACTGCCACTTCTGGCATTAAATGCAAGAACCTTAGCTTTCATTTCACTGTTTGTCTCCATCTTCTCGCACCCTTCTCTCTCTCAGAGACAACAGACAAAGGTTCAGTCTCTAATTCATTCATCCAAATCTTAGTTACAACGAAAATCTAACAAAGTAAATAACCACCACCAACGCATTGTCTCACGTCAAATTTTACATCCATTTTTTTATTAAATATTACACATGTGAGACCAATTTAAGATTAATAGACAAGCTAGATTCATCATTTTCTATCTCTATTAATTATTATTCATATCTTTAGCATATTACATATTTCTTGTATCCTTTTGTATTTTTCAAATAAGACTTTCATAAAAAAGTAATTACTAAAGTAAAGAACAGTGTTATTTTTATTTTACTAGATGCTTTTTAACTAGACAAAAGAAAAGGAGAGACAGAAAATGAGAAGAGATCATTTCAATCCATACACAAGAGAATGCATTCTACACTTGATGTTAATTAAAACCAAAAACAACATCATTACTGTTATAATCTTCATCATCATCTTCTAGTTCTAGTTCCTCATCATCTTCATCACCTAACAAGTCATCTTCCCCCATCTGATCACAGCTCTCCACAGTGTGTGGAGCATGGCCATCACCAAAGGCACGAACATGGTCTTTGAGGGATCTCTTGTGCTTGAAATCAGAGCCACAGATGCAGAACCAAAGCTTCCCACAATTCTTCTCGTGTGTCCTCCAATCCCCTCTCACAGCAAATGGCTTGCCACACTTTCTGCACCCGAATGGCTTTGCTCCATGCTTCCTCTTGTAGTGTGTCTGAAGGGTCCTGAAATCCTTCAGAGGCCTTGACCTTGGATGGTCTATGTTGTTCTTGCAACCCTCGGCACAACAATAGCAGGGAAGCCTCAGCATTGAAGAAGCTGGTTTTGCCCCTCTCAGTGATTCAGGCCCTTTCCTGTATTGTGAACCATGTCCCCACATGTGCATCTGCCATGTTATTACAATGCATTAGGCAAATTTTTATGTTAATGTGACAACAACATCAACTAAAACACCCCTCATAAAACTGAAGAAATGTTTTTTTGTTATGTAACTGATGAGAGGGCTGATAAACTTGCACCCAAAAGGATGGAAAGATGAGAGAGTTTGGAATAAAGAAAATAAAAATAGGAATTTGATAATGAATATTTCACATTCTTCGGGAGTGTAAAATGGTTGATTAAATAGCAAAGCCATGATCACATGTGATGAAAAGGGAAGAACTAGAGATGTGTAAAGTGATTGTGAAAGAAACCAGACCTATTAAACATAAAAAGAGAAAGAAAAAAATAGATAAAAGAAAGAAAAACAGAAGGATTCAAAGAAGGATCATTAATGGTGTCAAATTCAAACTTTAACTGGAGACAGTAACGGTTTTGCTTCTTGTGCATCTAAATCATTTTCAGAAAATAAGACAGTGGTATTTCTTACTTTCTTTCTTTCAAATCCTTTTTACCTAGGCAGCTAAAAAATGATCATGAATTTCTGTTGGAATAGATACAATAAGGAGTCTAATTGAATGTTAGAAGAATGATCCGCAATAGATATCACTTTATATCTAATATGGGTGGTTCAAGTGAGAGGGAGTTATATCAAAGCTACCAAAAAAGAAAAAGAAAAACAGCTTTTGGGAACTTCTCTGATTAAAAATATAAAATATTTTTTGATAGAGAAACTCTTTTAAATTTGTATCCAAATTCGCTGGATACATACTTGAGTTTGGTTGTAATTTAATTTTTTGAGCACTAACCTGCATGTTGTTGAAACGGTTGAACATTTTGTTGCAAACAGTGCAAGAGAACTGGGTGGGTCCAATGAGGATTTGAGCAGGAGAAGGGATCCAGTACTGGCCCTGAATGGGAGCAGAAGGCAAATGAAGATCAGGCTTGGTAGTGGGGATGGCACTGTTTGGTGAAGTGCTTGGACTGGGAAGGCCAATGTGAAGAGCCACAGTTACACCTCTCTGGTCATCAGAGATAGGGTTTTGCTGGAAATGGTACTGAAGAGTACTGGAAGGGTGGTTGGAGGAGGAGGAGGAAGTGGCTTTGGGGTTGTGGTGTTGGCCAGGAGGGCCAAGAGAGAGGGAGATGGAGGCTTCATCCACACCCTCATCATGGTCAGGTTCCAAGAAGGGACTTCTACTAGTAGGACAAGAGGGTATGTAGGAGAAAGAGTGAGTTTGCATGGTGAGAGATGTGGTTGATGGAATGGTATAATAATGTAATGTAATGTAATATTACTATATGATGAGAAAGGGTAGTAGTAGCTACTAGCTAGGTATAGGAGAGAGTAGAGTGAGGGAGGGACAGGGAAGGAGGGTGTTTTGGGTGTGGTGTGGTGTGTGAGAAACTGAGAATGTTAATGGGGATGAGAAAGGCAATAAATAAACACACCTTATGGATGTTAGTTTTGGCTTTTGGCATTTCAACATTGAAAAACAGTGATTCTAATTAATCAACTAATCATATATATGTCGTAACTTTAATTTAGATTTAAAGATATTTAATTTTATAAATTTTACATTATAAGCAGTCCATATCTAATGATATATAGTAAAAATAATATGTATAAATGAGAAGTAATTCCTTCTTCATAAATCGATTTTGTAAATTTGATTTAAGTTGTAATCAACCTTTTAACATGGAGATAAAGAAGTAATTAAAAATAGGTGAATGCATTAATGTTGAGAAGCATTGTTAACTTTGTTTGGATTTGATTGTGTTGGTGTGTAGTGTCATAGAAGAGAGATAAAATGCAGAGAGAGAGGTGGTAGCATGAGTGTGTGTGCGTACGTGGAATGAAGGGAAAATTGTGATATGATGCGTTTTGGCGTGTTTGGGAATAGAGGAGACACAGCACCGGCAAAGGAGGAAAGTGTGAGAGCGGCAATGAGGCAAAGCAGGATGCAATGCATAGAACATCGCACCAATATACGACACTATAGTAGCAGAGTGTCACTCATTTCTCTCTCACACATACCACATATTAATTTGTGTTACATCCTATAATTAATCAACAATATTGTCAAAAGGTTTTCAAAAGGTTGGCAGCTTCTAAAATGTTATTTTAATCCTTTTTCTTCTTGGTAGTTTTAACTATTAAAGTATTATTTTACTATGTTGTGCGGAAAAGAAATAAAAATGATTGTGTTTTTAAATTATATTAAAGTAGAATAAAAATAAAATATTTTTTTGCAATTAAAAGGAAAAAAAATGACTTTCTGAATCAAGCACTTGTATTCTTAAGTAGAAACACATGGATGATTTTTGAGGCATTTGAAAATTTTTATTGGATTTAAAAAAGTGATTTATGATCTTTTTTTATATACCTTTTCAATTTATTTTAATAAATTTCAGAGACAAAAATATTAAAATGAATTTATTTAAATTTATATTCTTTTACCTTCAAATACAATAAGCTCTATATATTTAAGAAAAATTAATTATGACACAAATACTTTTCAGTTATTTAAGCACCCATTGTAGTGTAAAGCAAGATCTTTTATATATGAAGACAGTAAAACATTTTTACATTGTGAATTAATTAAAAAAAACATCAGATGTTATTTGTCAGTTATTTATAATAAAAATAAACAAAAAAAATTATATTTAATGATGTGTAATTAAATAACAATACATGCCAATATTGTCTCATTCTTCTTTCGATCATCTCATTTAAATCTTATGTTTTTTTTTAATCACATAACTTATTACATGTATGAATATATATCTTTCTTAATATTTTCTTTATTCTTGCAAATTATGGACACCTCAAAAATATAATTATTACTCCTTCATCTTTTTTTACTTAGTGTGTACTAGTAAACAAGTATATATCATGCATTAAAGATTACAGATTTTGTTGGCATATGGATCTCTCTTGTTTCCAGCACCTAATCCAGTCCAAAAATATGCCATTTTATTACATGTATCCGAATCTTTGCAGCGAACCAAATGGGGGAGTTGATTAATTAATAATAGAGAGGTCCTTGTAAGTTGTATAATGTTGATATGTGGCCACAGTCTAAAAAGTTGAGAGTGAGTGGGCGATGGCACAGTCCCTTTCGAATTCAGAGAAAAGAGAGTGTTTAAGAACACATACAGGAAGTAGACACGGAGAACTGTAGAAGGTGGAGGCGTGTGTCTCTCTCTCCCCCCACTTTCTTACTACCATTGCTGACGCTGATAGTGATAGTGATGCTAATGCTAATGCAGCTGAAGTGATAGTTGTAATGTGTAATTACTATCTTAACCAATCTCTACCTTTCTCTTTTTGTGTATCACACAATGTGAAAAGGGTAAACAAGTTATATTTTCCATGTAATCACAGACTTTTCTTTTTTAATATTTTCTAGGAATGAATATTTGTTCACATGTTACATAAATAAAAGCATATATTAAGTGTTAAATCTTCTACTAAAATGTTTTTCTTTCTGTGTTTCTGTTCATGGTTATTGTGTGTTTCTGTCTTTGACCATTTTTTTTTCTATTAATTTCCCATCATTTTGAATTACTAGCTTTCCTTTTTCTTTGATCTTCCTCCTTTCTTACTAAAATTCTTGGTGATGCAAAAGTTTTTATCATCTGTATATCAACAATTGTCTCTTTGTAAATAAGTGTCTCAAATTTTATTTCTATTTTAACCAAAATGGGGTCATTGGTAATATTAATTAGAGTGTTAACAACGCAGTGTCTTGTACAATCTTTATTGTTGGTCATTTTTTCAGAAACCCAGAAAAATTATGAGAAGATCCAATAGATAATAAATGAAAACCAGAAACAGTTGTGATTTTCAATAAAATTCAACCAATAATAAAAAAGTGTATTATAGAATATATTGTTAAACTAAAATTTAAAAAAAAAAAATTGGTAAATAAACTGAAATTCATTAATTTATCTGGTTTTATACTTGTACTCATTAATCATGAATTGGAGTTTATTTTTTATCTTAGACATGAAAACACGACTAATGATATTACTTTAAGAGTTGATTTAATGAAAATGATATATATTTTTTTATCATCAATTGACATTTTAATTTACACCATATGATTTGGTGTGATACTTACTACATATTTATCAATGATTTCTTAATCAAGAACTATAGGACCCAATCCCGGTTTTAACATGAAGTGGAGACATTAGGTATAAATTTTGAGATGTCAAATATCATTAATGCATGTAGAAAGGGACTTGAAAAATTAATTGTATATATAAAACCAAGATGAAATAGTAAAATGAATTTTAGAAAAGTAATTTATGAAATAATTTAAAAAGATTGTGCTTCATAAATTTTTTTTATATTTTTTTTTAATCAAAATAATTCTGAAATATTTTATAGTAACATATTTTTATATGTATTTTCTTATCGAATAATATTAGTGTTAAAGCTTTTACAAATATTAATGTTCATGATGTGATTGTATGGCAATAACTAAACTTGTACTGCACATGGACAAAACCTATATATCACTAGAGTCAAATCTACATGGTTTGATCATATTTTTGAAAGAAGAAAAAAAAGTTTGCAAAGATGAAGAGCAATATTATTAGTGCAGTAGTTTGTTAGAAAACACATGCATATTCATAAACACTGTTAATGTGATTTTTCTTCAACGTTGCAGGTTAATTATTCGAATTTGAACAGCACAGTGTGTTGAATTGTTTTCTGCTGAAAGAAAAATCTGGTGAATAGTTCACGTGATGATACACCTACATAATAAACATTTGGTTCATATTTGGCTAAGATGATAGAACCCTAGTTTGGATATTAGCCATTGTAATCTTTCGAAAGCACCTCGAATCTTTGCATAAGTACGATCACGGGACACAAATGGAGAAATTCTCAATGTTGGACAAAAAGTCAGAGAAATATGGGATGATTCTTTGTCTTGCCTACTCAGTTCATTAATGCAAGCACGCTACGTGAACAGTTTACAACTTTTCACCCTTAAACGAAAAAGCAAGGGGACAACATTAATGGGCCGAAGCAAATGGTTGGTGTGGGCCAGCCATGCAATTGATTGGACATAGCCCAAAACATAAAACCTTAATTTGATTGACTGTCACACCCATCAAATCAACAAGCATCTTTCTCTATGCTTTTTCATTCCACCAAAAGGGAGAGTAAAAGGTCAGGTAGAACTTCCACTTTCAGTATTTCATCTCACCTAGGTTTCATTATGCCTACCTAACTAGGGCTCTACTCTATTTTCATCTATAAGTTAATATTTGGGTTTTTTTTTAACAAATAGGGATTATTTTGAAAACATTTTACGCAAATGAGGTTGTTCTCTAACTTATTACACCTTTAAAACAATTTATCACGGTGTTGTTATGAGTTATAACGACACTTATGACACGTGACTTTTTTATTTTATTTTAAGTCATGAACGCCATATTAATAGAGTTGCTACAGCTGATAACGTTTCAAAAAAAGTCGTTACAACCTATAGCGACACATATCGGCTCGAAGAAATTCTACCCTTCTTAGTTGTTTTAGTTCTTTTATTTAATAACCATAATGATTTTATGTAAAGATAAAATTGTATTTTTGATCATTATTATACACTTGTTTTATTTGATTTCAAGAAGAACTTCTATTTTGAGTGCTTCATCTAACCTAGGTTTCATGATGCCTACCCCTATATGTGTAGGGATCTAGGCTATTTTTATCTATGGCTTATATTCAGTTTCCACTCTCCTACACTTTCTGGTTGTTTAATAGGAAGAAGAAACTACATATAGCATAATGCTCACCAATGCAGAATGCTAGAGACATAACTATCCAAACATTGGAATAAATTAACAGCCGTGAATCTTGGATGTGTCACTTATCACTGATGGGTTTCTATTTTTGCATGCAGATGATTTGATGTTACCCTGAAATTTTCCCACCAGCGACTGTTCTCACTTGTTTAATGTCCATTGCAAAACCCAATTCAGTCAAACTAAATCACTATCAAATTAAATGGCAAAGTTGACCTTGCCAAACTACTAAAAATATGTTGTTCGGGGAATTCAATTTTCTCTGGTTAAAATAACATGTACTCACCATGTTTAAGAAACATAACACAACATGAACTTTTGAATGAATAATTATATTTATCATATAATTAATTGGTGCAAAATGTTCTCTAGTTTTTACTTGTGATCAATCTTTTTATGGTGTACCAGAAGTATTCTTTTAGTAGAAGCAATTATGTTTGAATTAGATAAGATTACTATATGAATAAAAAAATTTATAAGTATTTAAGTTAGAACAATCATAAACTAGTTGATCTACACGTTCAGTGGTTATTGATATAATTAACCTTTACAAGAATTGT